AAAATCAAATAATGAATTGCTAAAATGGTATTTCTCAAGAACATTTCATGGCATAAAAAAAGTGATCATAATATAAAAAGAGGTAAATTAAATGAATATAGTATGTGGAAATTATGTTTTAAATACGTATTCATAAAAATATAGACGTTAAGAGCAACATGTTAGCAATGGTTATCTATGTTTTCAGGGTTTTTAAAAAATATTTTCTTAATTTCTTTTACAATCAGAAAAAATAAGCTAGTTCATTTTTAAGGTAAAATGTTACCTGGGGTTGTACAGTCACATTGCTCAGATTACCAACACCAAGCAGGGTTTTGAGGTCAGATAAATTTTGACGAAGAGAATATTTCAGGGAAGGTTTATTATATAGAGGTGTTCCCTGAAAGGATATACAGAAAAATATTCTGTGAGTCGACTAAAAGAAAGAAGAACCAAAAACCTGGGGCGGGTAACAAGAAGCATAGCAAAGAGGAATAGCTGTATGCTGAGTGGGCTCAAATTAGTTCTGGGTGGGCCCAGATTAGCTTGGCCAAAATTATTTCACTTCAAAAGGCTTCTACAGAGGTGGACATCATCCTTAGCTCATTAGAAAAAGTGATATGTAAAGCATGACTGAGACTAATAAGCCCTGTGATTCAAGGCATGTGAGGGCAGCAGTATTGTCCCATGAGCTTTGGGCATGGGAGAGACTTCTCACAACTTTCCCCAAACCTGCCATTACTCTGAGGAACAGCTTGAACAATTATAGAAACCACAATAATTAAATGCCTTATGCATGTGTTATAAGGCATTCTATACTTTTCAAAAGTATCCTACCTCTTCTAATCTTTAAAAACTCTGTGACCTAGAAAGTACCCATGTTCCCATTTATCAGATAAGGAAGGCAAGGCTTTGGAAGAGAAGAAAGCTTAGTTGGAGAAAATTTTAATTAAGATGTTGGATTTGCATTCAAGCTGATTTGGGGGTATGTTGTGAGAAGAGGGCAGGCAATTTTGTGGACCCCACAAGGTTAGGAGCTAAAGTATAGCCATGCCTCATGGAGCCTACAAAAAAAAGGATCGAGTACTCAAGCTCTTCTCGGGAGCAACATTATACGCTTTCTCCTCTCTGCTCCTCTCTACCAGTGGGTCTCATTCTTCTTCAGATCTTCCTCTACTTCATCATCTTGCACGTGGCCCAACATTGTCCACCTGCCCTGTAAACTTGATGGCCTTACAAATCCAGGGGCCACCACCAACCAACCTCTGTGCATCTTAGTTCAAACCCCCAAGGGCAAGAACCTTGCTGGCTCAATACAGCCTTTGAATAGGACCAAGACTAAAGTAAGATATTCTGAGACCCAAAATACTGAAAAGATCATATTGCCCACCTCCATGAATAATTGAAAATAAAGACAAGACTATGTCATAAAATACTATTTTATATACTATTACATGTGGCAATGTTTTGACACACACACGCACATAAAAAACCTTTAGGACAGGCATCCCCAACCTCCTGGCCATAGACTGTTACTGGTCTGTAGCCTGTTAGGAACTGGGCCATACAGCAGAAGGTTAGCAACAGGCAAGTGAGTAGTCTTCTTTCCTTCCTTCCTTCCTTCCTTCCTTCCTTCCTTCCTTCCTTCCTTCCTTCCTTCCTTCCTTTCCTTTCCTTCCTTCCTTCCTTCCTTCCTTCCTTCCTTCCTTCCTTCCCTTCCTCTTCTCCCTCTCCCCGTCCTCTCTCTCTCTCTTTCTCTCTCTCTCTCTTTCTCTCTTTCTCTCTCTCTCCTTCCTTCCTTCCTTCCTTCCTTCCTTCCTTCCTTCCTCTTTCTTTTCTTTTCTTTTCTTTTCTTTTCTTTTCTTTTTTTTCTTTTCTTTCTTGCCTGTTAGGAACTGGGCCATACAGCAGAAGGTTAGTAACAGGCAAGTGAGTAGCCTGCCTGCCTGCCTGCCTGCCTTTCTTTCTTTCTCCCTTCCTTCCTTCCTTCCTTCCTTCCTTCCTTCCTTCCTTCCTTCCTTCCTTCCTTCCTTCCTTCCTTCCTTCCTTTCTTTCTTTCTTTCTTTCTTTCTTTCTTTCTTTCTTTCTTTCTTTCTTTCTTTCTTTCTTTCTTTCTTTCTTTCTCTCTCTCTCTTTCTTTCTTTCTTTCTCTCTCTCCCTTTCTTTTTTTTTTTTCTTGACAAGGTCTTACTTCATCACTCAGTCTGGAGTGCAGTGGTGCAGTCTCGGCTCACTGCAACCTCTGCCCTCCCGTTCAAGCGATTCTCCTGCCACAGCCTCCCAAGTAGCTTGGTTTATAGGCACGTGCCACCACATCTGGCTAATTTTTGTATTTTTTGGTAGAGTCGGGGTTTTGCCATGTTGGCCAGGATGGTCTTGAACTCCGAACATCAAGTGATCCACCTGCCTTGGTCTCCCAAAGTGCTGGGAGTACAGGCGTGAGCCACTACACTTGGCCAAAGCTTCATCTGTATTTATAGCCACTCCCCATTGCTCGCGTTATCCCCTGAGCTCCAACTCCTGTCACATCACTGGTGGCATTAGATTCTCAAAGAAGTACAAACCCTAGTGTGAACTGCGCATGCAAGGGATCTAGGTTGCACACTTCTCATGAGAATCCAGTGCCTTATATTCTGTCACTGTCTTCCATCATCCCCAGATGGGGCAGTCTAGTTGCAGGAAAACAAACTCACGACTCCCATTGATTCTACATTATGGTGAGTTGTATAATTATTTCATTATGCATCATGATTTAATAATAATAAAGTGCACAATAAATGTAATGCACTTAAATCATCCCGAAGCCATCCCCACCCAACCCCAGTCCATGGAATAATTTTCTTCCGTGAAACAGGTTCCTGGTGCCAAAAAGTTTGGGGACCGCTACTTTAGGAAAGAGGGAGTTTCTATATATTCAAGTTCTTTCAAAATGCCTCATATTATGGAACAGTCTCTCAACTTCATTTTGAACATAAGAGGACTGTTTAGGGAAGGTATGTTAGGCTATAACTGCCTGAGTTAATGCTGGCATGGGATAACTCAGAGGTTACCTGGCAGAATTGATTTAAAAAAAAGGAGACAAAGAAATTCAACACAGGTTTACTACTTATTATGATAAGGAACCCATAATTATTATGAATATGAGCCCATAATTCTAAATGTTCAATATTGCTGTAAACAAGCTTTTTAAAAGTCATTTTAATGTGCAACGGAATAAGTGCTAACATTGTGGAAATTGTAAATATACACATATGAAAACCTCAAAGATCCTGGTATTATGAAAATGGGTCTTAGTATGCTTAAGATAAAATATTCAGTGACCGGTTATATGAGGATTCAATAAATGCTCTATCACTAACAAAACATGCAGAAATGTAAATAATGTTCTCTAAAAATGAACTTTTTGAGTTTTAAATGCATAAGGGATTCAAAAAATAGTTCTAGTGAAAACAAAAGTATTCATGTCAAAGATACTTTTTTGCATAAAGGAAAATAAAACTATTTATTGACCACTGTTCACAAGTATTTACAATAAAGTAAACAATATACATTTACATAACATTCTGATTACTGCAAAGTTGTTTTTCCTCACTTTTGCTAAATCAGTAAAGCAAATACTGAAAAGATTGAGCCTACATGTAAGGAATGAGTTGGGATAAGAAAAAAAAAAAAATGCAGGTCAGCTGAGTGCAGTGGCTCACGCCTGTAATCCCAGCACTTTGGGAGGCTGAGGTGGGCAGATCACAAGGTCAAGAGATCAAGACTATCCTGGCCAACATGGTGAAACCCCATCTCTACTAAAAATGCAAAAATTAGCTGGGTGTGGTGGCACGCACCTGTAGTCCCAGCTACTTGGGAGGCTGAGACAGGAGAATCACTTGAACCCGGGAGGAAGAGGTTGCAGTGAGCTGAGATCATACCACTACTCCAGCCTGGCAACAGAGCGAGACTCTGTCTCAAAAACAAACAAACCCAAAAAAAGAAAACCCATGCAGGCCAATAGGTTGGATTACAAACCGTTATTCACACATTTATGGCAGAAGGTCCTAAACTGCCAACATCTCTAACCATCTGATTAGGTTTCTATAAGCCAAATCTTAGATATTCCATGAATCTGACCTTTTAGTCAAGGTAGCAACAGGGATTTCAACATTTTGTTAATGAATGTCCCAATAGAGACATTTTTAAATGTTCACTTAACTTAGTTGTGTTTAGCTAATTAAAACACACTGGCATTTGTCTAGTTTCCTCATCTGGATGGGGAAACCTCCTGTGATGGCAGTGATAAAATTTTTCCTTTTAGGAATTTTGCAAGCAAACCACTGAATTTATAGATATAGATGCTTTAAAATTATCCAATTTAAATTGTCCTATTAATTAGAATCACTTATTTCACTTGAAGTTTATGACTTCAGGAAAATTTTCAATATAACTTGAAGTGATTATCTCTTATTTTGCTCAGAATAATGGCATCTCAGAAACATGGGTTTACCTGTGATTTTTCATTTTGGTGAATGTTTAAAAATTTACATGTGCATTTTATGTATACACACACACACAAACAAAAAACCTAGAATGGTCCTTAGGCTTATGACAACACAAGTTCTGATTGAGTAATGACTATGGACATAACCCTCAACATTTAGAAAAGCTGTCCTTTAATGCGGAGGAAACGATATACCATGGTATCAAATGTTCTTTTCTGATAAAGGAAGCAACTACAGGAAGCTTTTATTTATTTGTTCAAAGTAACCAGTGCTATGGATGAAAAAAACAAAAACAAAAAACAAAAAACCAACAACTCTTCCAACGCTACTTTCAAAATGAACATATCAAACTGGATTTCCATTAGAATGTAGTTATTTTGTCACACTAGTAAATAAAAAACCAAGACCCAAATTATATATATATATTTGTGTGTGTGTGTGTGTATATACACACGTGTATATACACACACACACGAGAATCCATATATGTATATACATACACACACACATATATATACACAAAAATGTGAACAATTATTGAGCTTCATCTTCTGGACAAGCTTGTCAAGTTAGTCTCTCTTCATAAAAAGCAGCTACAATTTGAGGACATTTCATATTCGCCTCTTTTGAGGCCAGCACTGAGTCTGCCTCATCTGAATCTTTCCATTTCATGAGAAACATCAATTCCCCACTGCCGTCTGTGGCACCAATTATTCTTTCAGGATCAGGACCTCTGGCAAATCCTCTTGGTTTGTCAGCAGTGTTTCTTTTCTTCTTTGATTTGCTGTCATCAGATTCACTGTCAGATAAAGATTTTCTTTTTGTACCATCTTCTTTGCCAGCTTTTTGAGAATTAAGAAAGGCTTCAATCAACTCTACACAATGTAAATTTTCTTCAGGTTCCCAAGTATTGTCAGCATCTGTAAATACCTTCCACTTCAGAAAATATTCCACTTTCCCATTCACTACACGTTGATCTAGATCTAGTACTTTTTCCATCACAAGTTATACAGGCTCTGCCACTTCAAGTTTTTCATTCTTTCCATCTGTTTCTTTCCCATTTTTTGCCATATAGTTTTATTGGAGGCTACTTTATTCACCGCCTCCGAGCTGCTATGGGGTCTCAGGTCTGCAGTGTCTCAGGCCCTGCGCCACTCCAGCTCCAGCCACAATCGAAGTCTGAAGGAGCCTGTGAGCTGCATGCGGGGCGGCACTGGGGAGGGGTGGCACCGCCCACGCCGGGTGGCCAAGGAGCGGGGCCTGATGTCAGAGATACTTTTGAAGAGTTTGGACAAGAGTGTTTTGTGATCTATGAGAAAGAAGAACATACTTCTAAATTGATATATTTTATATATAATTTATAATATGTAAATATAACTACTTAATGAATTAGATACAATATGCATGCATTTAATTATTTCATCTACATACATACCTAAAAGTTTATCACTCACATTGACAAATAAAACTTTCTTCTTGACTTTCTCAATGGGAGAGTAGGGAATGACCTCATATTAGGGCACTCATATTCATGCATATACGACAAATATAAAGAATTCAGGAAAACTTCTGATTTTTGTCATGACTACTATTTTATTTCTTTTTTGAAATATCAAATATCAAAATATTTCAAAAAGATTTTGGGGGTATGTTTGTCTTTGATTCTGCTAGTGCACTATGTGTATGCTTGACCTACTTGTTAACTCTTCTAAGTCTCCTTGGGTCTGTTGTCCAAATATTATCCGGTAGCTGAAATCTAAGAGGAATAGGATCATGTGGTACAAAAGCAGCCACATAGACTTCCTTTTCACGGTCTGGGATAGATCCTTATCCCCTCTATCACTCTCTATAGGGATTAGAATCCCTTTATCCTAGTTTTTGGCCTCCTTTCTACTCAAGGAGTGCAGTAATAGCAAAATCTCATTAACCCCTCTAAGTAGTGTTCTAGTACAAACACTTGGTGGCTTAAAACAACAGGAATTTCTTTTCTGATAATTCTGGAATCCAGAAGTCTGAAATCAAGGTGTTGGCAGGATTAGTTCCTTCTGAAAACTTTGAGGGAAAATCCATTCCATGCCTCTCCTAGCTTCTGGCAACTGCAGGTAATCCTTGGCATTTCTTGGCCCGTAGGCACATGGCTCCACTTTTTGCCTTTGTCGTCACATGGCCTTCTCCCTTGTGTAACTACATTTCAAGTGTCCCTTTCCTTTCTCTTATAAGAACACCAATCACTGGATTAGGACCCACCCTAAGTCCAGGACGATCTCATGGTCATTCTTAATTTAATTGCCCTAAATTAAGAATCTACGAGATTCTTTTTCTGACTAAGATAATCTTCACAAGTTCTAAGTGTTAGCACTTGGACATATTTTGAGGACCACCATCCAACCCACGCTACCTCCCTTACTTTCTAGACAGTAATTAACTATTTTTTGATAATGATACTTTTGAAAACAACACCCAGAAAGCTGCATTTCTACAGCACTTGACTGCTGGGGTAGGCACCTTTTTGATTCGTTATGGAAGTCCGAGCAGTTCCTGGATAAGACAGATAGAGAAAAGAGCCGGTATGGGATTTTACCCAGATTTTTTAACATTATTTTGACTCTACACTGGGGTTAGATGGGGAGCATAGAAATGAGCAGCTGAAAAGGTGAATTTGACTTAAAAATAAACCACAGGCCTGGATTGGATGCCCTTTCCCTGTACTTTTCCTATAATTTACTTGTATTCTTCACAAGACTGAGGTCTGAGAGGGCAGAGGCTGTCTTGTTTACCGTTGTATTCCTAACACAAGCCTGATATAAAGTAGGCAGTCCACAAATATATGTTAAATGGAAAAACAAATGAATGAAAGAAAGGAAACTTCTTTAGCACATTGGGCCATGTATCTAAGACTTCGCTTTCACATGGGGTCCTATCTGCCCAGTCCACACTTCCTCTCACTTGAAGTTCTAGATACTCAAGTTTTAAACACTCCCCAAGAGATTGGCTGTCTATAAGACTGAGGCACCCAATTCTCCATTTTTCTACTGTTTTTTTTTTTAATATGCTTTCCATAAAACAAAAATTAAAATGGGGCTAAGTCAAGAAAACTCCTCATTAATGAAGTCCTAGATTCCCAGATACATATACAAAGAAGAGTGAAATGTAAAGCGCCTCTGTAAAACTTCTAACAGAAAAAAACAATTTTATTAAGGAAGCTGTCCTGGGGAGTGTGTGTGTGTGTGTGTGTGTGTGTGTGTGTGTGTGTAGTGAGGGGTGTATTCCTGAATATCAAAACTGAGAGGCCATAGGAGAGATGTATTTTCTAGAAAATCATACTAGAAGTTCAGGTCCCAAAGATAAGATCAAAGTTCAGTCTCACTGGCCTCCCTCCCTCTTCTGTGACCTGTTCCTCCATGGCCTTGACATGCCTTTGTTATTAATTAATGTAATAATTAATAGCAAAGGCATGAGCAGTTATTGGATAAGATAGGTAAACTTATCCATCCCTCCTAGAAGTATTCAAAATTTGATAAGATAGGTCAATGAAGGCCCCATAGCCTTCCAGCTGCAAAGGAATCATTCCTTGTCATTCCTCTGAGTAGCAGTGGAAGTGGGGGTGAGAAATATATTTTCCATGCCATCTGGGTAGACATAGACTCTGCCAATTTGCAGGATCTGTGCAGATATGGACTCTGCCAATTTGTAGGGCCAGCGCTGGGAAACAATATTCTCTCTTCTATTCTATTCTCTTCTCTTTTCTATCTCCTTCCTTCTATGTCTAAATCAACAGTCGCTAGTTTCTGCTATGCTTCTTCACGACATTTTATTCTGTAAATACTTCCTGCTTAGTCCAAAGATGATTAGACAAATCAAACATGACTTACCTTTCTGGCTAATCTCATCAGAACGCATTCCAAATTGGGCAATTAAAAAATGGCACCCAAATTTTATCTCAGTTGTCTTCTTCCCTATAACCTAGTATAGTTCTGGGCAGAAAGGAGATTCTCAATTTATTCTTAATGTATTGTAAGAGATTAGATTGTCTCTAAGATAAGCAATGAGTTTAATTTAAGTAAATTGTAATTAAAATAGAGAAAAAGAACATATTATTTGAAGAAGGATGGTTCTAGGCTCAACTTGGAACCACAGAATAGTCTGTCACTTTGGGGAAAATTATATAAATTGATTTTCTCATCTGTAAAATGGAGGTGTTAATAAGTAACTTACAGGGTTGTGGCAGGTCTTGAAAGAAAAAAGAAATATATGGGGCTGGGTGCAGTGGCCAGTAATCCCAGCACTTTGGGAGGCCGAGGCAGGCAGATCATGAGGTCAGGAGTTTGAGACCAGCCTAGCCAACATGGTGAAACTCATCTCTACTAAAAATACAAAAATTAGTTGGGTGTGGTGGCGCACGCTTATAATCCCAGCTACTCAGGAGGCCGAGGCAGGAGAACCACTTGAACCTGGGAGGTGGAGGTTGCAGTGAGTCAAAATCATGACACTGCAGTCCAGCCTGGGCGACAGAGTGATATTTCATCTCAAATATATAATATATATACATATTCTATATTATATATAATTATATATAATATACACATATTTTATATTTACATGGTTATATACATGTTATATATTATATATCATATTATATTATATATTATACATATTATATATTATATATACTATATTATACATATTATATATAATATATTATACATATTATATATTATATATAATATATACATATTATATATTATATATATGGAAAATACCTGGCACATAAAAGCTGTTCGTTAAATATAAGCTATCTTTCCTTCTAAGCCCTGAAACTGTTTTGATTTTGAGTAAGAGATTTTTTTTCCCCATAATAAATGTTACATGTAGACACATTTACTCCAGATTTCAATACAGCTGTATTCAGACCCAGACTTGTTTAAAATATCGAAAAAGGAGCATGTATGATTTTCAATATGGGCTTATGCTGTACACATAAGACTTGGGCATTTGACTGTATGTAAATCGTATCTAAAAATTTTTTTTCTACTCTCTCACCTCCCAAAATAGTGGGATCATGTTTCTATTCTCTGGAAGGCTCTCTGACATCCTATCCGAGCCTCCAGCTGCAGATATGCCCCAGCTGGGAAAGGTGAAGATAAGGTGCTTAAACGTTTATGTACTGCATTTCCTCAATTATAAATCCACATTTTCTCATTTTAGTATTTCCGGAGAAGCAACTTATATTCAATGTATGTTTGATATAGTGTTTCTTCTCTCCACTGCAGCCTCAAGCCACTCACCCTTCTATTCTCTGGAAAGTTACTCTTAAATTAACGGTGTATCTCTGGAATTTGTAACACATCTTGGAAACAACTTGCATTTGCCCTCAAGGAGCCAATGAGCTAGTTATCTGCTACCTGAATGTAGATAATCTAAGAATAAATAGTAATGAATACATTTTGAGCGTTTTCTAGCTGCCAGGAACTGTTCTGAGGTGTTATGTATATGAATTCACTTAAGGCTCAAGACAAAACCCATTGTAATGGTAAGATCATTCACCCCATATTATAGATAAGGAAAGTGAGACTCAGAGAAATTAAGGAGCTTCCATAAATTCAAAATGTGTAAGTGGAGCCCTCGCAACATGGTGAAACCCCATTGCCACAAAAACAAAACAAACGAACGAAAATTAGCCAGGCATGCCTGTACATGCCAGTACATGCCAGTACGTGCCTGTAGTCCCAGCTACTCAGCAGGCTGAGGCAAGAGAATCACTTAAGCCTGGGAAGCAAGGCTACAGTGAGCCAAGATGGTGCCACCGCACTCCAGCCTGGAGGACAGAATCTCAAACAAAATAAAACAAAATGAAAACAAAAACAAACAAACAAAAAACCAAAGTGTGTAAGTGGGAGATCTGCCATTTGAGTTCAGGCAATCTGGCTCCAGAGGCTATGCCTTTTACCACCACATCTCACTGCCTCTCTAAATGAGATAATGTCAGTAATAGGAAAATTTAAGTGTATTTATCAAAACCTGTAAATCAAAAATTCTAAATTCTAAGGACCCCCAACCATCTGAATGGACCCCTCCTCTCAGCCAAGGGCATTCAAAAGTTAACCTGCAAAACCTGTTCAGGCCATGATGGGAAAGGGGGAGTCAAACACGCCTCATTATACCCTCCTTCCTTTTGGAATTTAGGAAAAGCCAACCAGAATTAACATCAACACAGACCTTAAGTCTGATAAGAAACATTTAGAATCTATTCTCTCTGAAGCCTGCTACTTGGAGGCTTCATCT